CAGAGGAGGGTGAGAGAATAAATTTTAAGAAAATAAAGTGGGAATGAGACAGGGAGAGAGAGAAGGGAGTAAGAAATAAGATGAGATATAGAGGGAAGAAGGTAGCAGGAAGGGGTGCACTCCCTCCCCTAGGTGTCATCAATGTGGGAGGAGAAAAAGGGGGGAGACGACGGCAAATGTGTTTTTAAAAGTACATATATATTTAATGTGTGTGTGAGGGAGGGGGAGCTGTTGGACATGAAATGTTCTGCACTAGGCAACACATAACCTTCTACACCAACTGAAGGTATGGAGAAAGAAAAGAGAGAGAGAGAGAGAGAGAGAGAGAGAGAGAGAGAGAGAGAGAGAGAGAGAGAGAGAGAGAGAGAGGGGAGGGGAGGAAGTGAGGGAGAGTGGAAAATACAAAGAGAAAGAGAGAGAGAGGAAAGCAGTGACACAGACAGGCAGAGAGTGAGGAACAGGTAGGACAAAATGTGAGGGGGCGGGAAGGGAGATGGACAGAGATTAAGGCCGCTAGGAAAACAAACACATCAAAAGAAAATATCCACCATGTTCCCACAGAATGCCCCCCCCCCCCCCCAATACAACTTCCTGTGTACTTGAGTTGCTAGGAAGAGTTATGGAGCGCACATTTACTAAACATTTAAACAAGAAATAAAATAGGAAAAAGGGGGAGGGGGGACAGGAAATGAGAGAGTAAAAGGAAAGATAGAGAGAAAGAGAAGAAGATGAAGATCAGAAGGGAGGGTTAGAGACAATGCAGGAGACGGAATCTCGGGGAATTACAATACTGATCGCCAAACACACTGTAAAGATAAATCCAGGCCAAAAATAGAACTGGGAAATCCAGCTGCAGTCACTTTGCTTAGCCCCAATGCCATCTCTAATAAATAGAGAAGGCCGTGCTTAGCCCCCACCACGGCGACTCTATTTATAAATACAGCTGAACCGAGCCCCACCATCTCCCAATGTAATCCTTTCTAGAAACCACGGCCATAAACGATTTTTACTGTTCATTCTGCCAGACTTGCTAGAAACAAAGGCACACACACACACACACACTAGACGGAATCTGCCCCATGCCACACCGGTGCTGTCTGCATGTATTCATGATCTGCAACACAGCCCGCCCTCCCCTGGCCTTTAACAAGCCATTTCGGCTGAAAATAGCCAATAATCAGCTGCCCTCACACCTAAAACGACCATACAAAGAAAAGTAGCCAAAAACTAGCCAAATGGCCAAAAAAGCCAAATGGCTCCCCCAACATTGCCTGTGCTGAAAAACACAGGATTTCTGACGATTTCATTGCCGCGGTCAAAATTCACGGCTTTTCAAGGTCGGAATGTCTTTTATAAGCTAAAAATCCCGGTTCAAGGTCAACGAAAAAAATCCCGGTAATTTCCCGATTTCCCGGTCCACTACGAACCCTGTATTCTTCATTTAACTTCTTCAATACATCTACCATCTGATGTTGTCAGGGTACTCAAGTACTTAAACATATCAACTTGCTTGAGATATTCTACATTTAACTTCTTCAATACATCTTCCATCTGATGTTGTCAGGGTACTTAAGTACTTAAACATATCAACTTGCTTGAGCTATTCTACATTTAACTTCTTCAATACATCTTCCATCTAATGTTGTCAGGGTACTCAAGTACTTAAACATATCAACTTGCTTGAGCTATTCTACATTTAACTTCTTCAATACATCTACCATCTGATGTTGTCAGGGTACTCAAGTACTTAAACATATCAACTTGCTTGAGCTATTCTACATTTAACTTCTTCAATACATCTTCCATCTGATGTTGTCAGGGTACTCAAGTACTTAAACATATCAACTTGCTTGAGCTATTCTACATTTAACTTCTTCAATACATCTACCATCTGATGTTGTCAGGGTACCTAAGTACTTAAACATATCAACTTGCTTGAGCTATTCTACATTTAACTTCTTCAATACATCTACCATCTGATGTTGTCAGGGTACTCAAGTACTTAAACATATCAACTTGCTTGAGCTATTCTACATTTAACTTCTTTAATACATCTACCATCTGATGTTGTCAGGGTACCTAAGTACTTAAACATATCAACTTGCTTGAGCTATTCTACATTTAACTTCTTTAATACATCTTCCATCTGATGTTGTCAGGGTACTCAAGTACTTAAACATATCAACTTGCTTGAGCTATTCTACATTTAACTTCTTCAATACATATTCCATCTGATGTTGTCAGGGTACTCAAGTACTTAAACATATCAACTTGCTTGAGCTATTCTACATTTAACTTCTTTAATACATCTACCATCTGATGTTGTCAGGGTACTCAAGTACTTAAACATATCTTCCTGGGAGCTAAAGACATTTCTGAATAAAGTTCAACTCTGTTCAGGTTTGAACCCTTGACTTAGGGATCCACAGGCAAACGTCTAGCAAATGCACAAATTTTCACAGTCCAGAACACAAAATGAAATCAGGTCTAAAGCAGCTAGAAGCGGATATTTCCACCTCTAAACCACTCCATCCATCCATCCATCCATCTGTTATCAAAGAAAAAAGTGTGAAATAATGTTCACTTACCTCTTGATTCCATGCAGTCAATATCAACTTGAATCATGAACTCATCATAAAAGTCTCTGTGCACCCCATGGAATACCCAGTCTCGAATGAAGCTGTCATGATAAAGTTAAATTTTTCAGTGCTTTGTTAATAGCCTACCCCAGATGACGTCAGGACAGTCCAACATTTTAGAGGGGGGTAAGACTGGGTTTCCCAGCTTTCTGATGCTTTTAACGATCCCAAAACATCTAGAACTGGCCCTAACCCCAACCCACCTACGTCCCACAAGACAGTGCAGCCTAGGTCCCACGACTGCATGCAGCCTATCTACCACCACCTGAAACCTTACTGTCTTGTGACCTGTGGATTCCCCCTGTTTGGGGTAGGATATAAATAAATCACCCATTTTTCATAGCTTTTATAGATGAAAAGATAACAGAGCTTCTTCTTAGCATTCACCAGCTATAAATTCCAGGTGAAAGTTCTGGCTGTTCATCCAATTCTGGACTGATGTCTTGTTCTAGAACTTATGTTTTATTTGCACATTCATTTTACAGACATGGCTTATTTGTATGCAGACTGTTGGTTCCTTAACTCTCAGGCAGATGCGCTCTGACTTCAAAGGAAACAGTCATAATTATCTGCCTCTTATGACATGCTTATTAGATGGGCAGTGGGTCTATTCTTTCTCCCCGAAAGTGGGACCCCAGGGCAAGGCGCTGTCATCATTTTAAGGTGACAAGATTGAATCTAGCATGGTAACTATATCTTTCTATTTATACGTTGTCTAGTGTGTCCTATCTCTCTACGTCCTTCTATGAGTGCCTATCAATATATGTCAATTTGTTCACTATACAGAAAAAAGAAGAAACAATCTGCCAAAGACAGAAGGGTAAGAAAAAAAAGGAGAGAACTGAATACACGCCTGCATGCTAAAGTCCACACAACCAAGAATATTCGTTTCAGTTACACAACTTCTCAGGCTTCTGCCTTTTAATCTCTAAATGAGCTCTGAACAAACTCACTTAACACTTTTTGTAAATTTGTTCAAAATTAGATGTAGTTTGCAGCTAAAGATTACTGGGTAAAATAGCCAACAGCAGGCCAACCCTCTTTAGCTGCCTCTTACTACATGCAGAGCAGGTTTTAGTGATTCTATTCTGAGAATTCCTCATGACCTCAGGTTACCCATGGAAAATGAGCAATATCTTTTTCTTTAATTTTTGTCCTTAAACATGTGTTTGGCCTATTGTGATGTGGTTTACTGATATGTGCCTTTCAGCCCAAAACATCAAATTTCACCTTCTTCTTTTCTCTACTCCTAGAATGCCTCATGGTGTCAGGGCAGGAAGAGATCTCTGCAGCGGGCCCTTTTGTTCCCTTCGTATAAAGTACTTTTTGCTGTCTGATATTTCTGCGGTCTATATTCTGTGTGGTTGACCTCTGGTCTGTTACCGCTGTCTCTGTACAACAATGTCTCTGTAGTGCCCTGTCTGATGCCAATCTTTTCATGGTCAAACCATTTGATTTGTTGTCGACTGAAAAAAGTCAGTACTGGTTCAGTGCCGACTCTCCTCCTGATATCATCGTTCTAAGTCGATCTTTCTTCGTTACACCTAGCACAGTACGTGAATATTTCATTTTTGTCAGGACTATTTTTTTCTGTCTTCTGAAGACAGTGTCCACACAAGTAAAAACAATTTTCACATAACTTTTTCTTCTTCTTTGCATTCACCAGCTGTAAACTCTGGCAGAAAGTTCTGGTTGTTCATTCATATTTGGACTGCAGTCCCGTTCCAGAACCTGAGTGTTGCATGTGCATCCATTTTACAGACTGACTTATTTGTATGAAGACTGCTGGTTCCTTGCCTCTCAGGCAGTGCACTCTGACTTCGAAGAAATTCCCAATTAATCGAATCCTACAACATGCTTTTGGGTAGGCAGTGGGTCTATCCTTTTTTTCCCCCACATAATAGGGCCCCGGAACCCACACAGGAAGTTTTCACATATAATATCAAGGCCAACTTACAGCACAAACGGAGCAAAAGTTGTCTGGAGGATGGACAACAACAATGGGTAATGTGCTGAACTGCTGGATACCTCGGCTTCATCATACAGGTATGTTAACAGCTTCATGCCCTGAGGAATCAAAGGTGTTTCAAATAAAAACCACAGATATATGAACATAATAGCACTGGCATGGTAAAGAATAACAAGAGATGGATGGAGTCTTGTCTGTTGGAGTGTATCCCCAAAAGCAAGTGATAGAATTTACGAGGGCACTTTGAATAGTAATGCCTCCAAGGACACAATTTTGTTAATAGACTGGCACCTTTCCGTCTATCCAGATGATAGTGTTATAGCTCGCTGTGAGGAGGAGGCATAGGATTTACAGCTTATGGTGATGACTAGCAAGACCCACCCGTGTTAAGAAACGTTTCCACAATTATAGCAGGAGATTTCAGGACCGTTGTTGTCAACATTTGTGTTGAGTCTGTTTCTTCTCAGACGCTCAGCTCTCATCCTTTCTGCAACCATCTCTTTCTTCATTCTCATTCCCTACCTAAATTTATACAATGTACACAAAAAATATAAATTTTCCAAAAGCAGACGTTCTTCTGAAGAGGATGTGGTGGCTGATGTGCATTCCTTGTTTCAAGAAAGGTTGTCCCATTTTTCCTCGATGGGATTGGAAAACCTGTTCCAAGCTGGCGTGTGTGTGTGTGTGGAATGTGGTGCTAACTATGTTGAAAAATAATAACACATTAATAATGACATCCCAAACTGTCGAAAAATGCATATTTCGTATGTACATTGTGTATATTAACAAAGTTATGTCCTTGGAGGCATTACTTTTCAAACCATCCTAGAATTTAGTGCAGACGTCCTTCATAGTGGAGATGGCCCATGACTGACTGATAGGAAGCTTTCTTACACATGAAATATGGATTTTTTTTTTTTTTTGAATCACCGGCTGTGAATTCCAGCCGGAAGTCCTAGTTGTTCGTCCACTTGGAATTTTGGCTTTGTACTAGGACCTGAGTTTTGCGTGCACATCCGTTTTACTGGCTTATTTGTGCGCAGTTCTTGTTCCCTGTCTCTCGGGCACTATGTGGGTGATTTGGTCAGAACCACACCGGCCACTGGAAGCCAAGGAAATTTCTGAAAAAAGTCTCGCTCCATTTGGATTCAAACCTACGACATTTGAATCCAGAGGTTAGCACCTAGCTGCTGCACCATGGCGGGTCCCATTTATGACAGTAACAATTGAGTAAAATATTGAGTGAATCTGCACCTGTCCTAGTAAAACATGCAGTTACTTTTGAATGTAGTCAAGTTTTCACTTCGGTTAGAAGATGCATCTTTTTCTTCATTGCAATCAATTGGTACTGTGGTACACACTTGAAAAGATACAGCGGAACATGCCAGAAAATATACAGTGCAATCAACAGTTTGTATCTTCTTTGAACAAAAACTAGTGTTACTAAATACATATAAGTTTGTGTAAAGATAACAAAGACAACAAGACTTGTGTAAAGGTAACAAAGAAAAAAATATGACAAAATGTGCAAAGATAACAAGGTGTGTGTATACATACAACAACAACAAAGTCTGTGTAAAGAAAGCAAAGATAATATAGTTTGTGTAAAGATAACAAAAAATAACAAAGTTTGTGTAAAGAAAAAAGTATGTGTAAAAATAATAGTCTGTGTAAAGATAATAGTCTGTGTAAAGATTATAGTCTGTGTAAAGATAATAAAGTTTGTGTAAAGATAACTCAGGTTCTACACTTACTGTTGGAAAATCTCCAAGAGCGGCTGCAGACGTTGTGGTGTTACAACAGTGGCAAAGTGTTGCTATATACCTGTAAATGAGATAACATAAACTGTAATATCTCTCTCTCTCTCTTTCTCTCTCTCTCTCTCTCTCTCTCTCTATATATATATATATATATATATATATATATATATATATATATATATATATATATATATATATATATATATATACATATATATACACACACACACACACATATATATATATATATATATATATATATATACACACTATAAATCACAAACCCTTTCCGTATTGTGTGTGTTTATTAGTGGTAGTAGTACATTTTACCCCACTAGGACATCACATAAGCGATAAGCACCGGATAACACAATGTGCCACCATGAAGATGAGAATCACCTGCAGAGAGGTCCCGGGAACCAGGTTCAGTGATTAGACCATATTTATGGCCGGACTATATTGTGGGCTTCAAAATAACGAAAAATTGCATCCCACAAGGAAATGACAGGTTATTACCGATAAATGTGTTTATTATAAATAAAAGGTTAACTCCTCCCAAACCATGAACCAATTCATGGGTTAAGTTTTCATCTGCCATTATGACTATAATGTTTGATTCAACAGTCACACTGGCAGACCAGGTTACTGTGCATTTCTTTATTTATTGTGACAATCGGTAAAAGTAAACTTTAGCTGGAGGTATAATATCCCCCTGAATATTTTTTCCCTTAAATGGAGAAATTTTGAACATTTAAACTTATTATTTCATCTTTATCTCCCTTGAAACCACATATCTCTGTGTGTATGTGTGTGTGCCTGTGTGTGTAATAGTATGATGAAAACTGATTGAGTTGAATGAAAGATATGTGAAGAAATCAGAGAATGGTCTGGTCAATACTTAATAAAAACCGCTATAAGACAAACAAGATGGCCCTATACTGAGAAGAAGAATGCAGAAACCAATCAGGGGCTGAAATGCAAAACAAATTAACTGAAAAAAATGAGGATATCAAAGAGAATAGCTGTAATGAATGCTACTGAGAGAGGTCAAAAGTGCAGGATATGATACAATCCTTGGTTACAAAAGGATTGGCACAGCATATAAGGGAATGAGGAATAGATTGCAAGCCCCATGTGACGCATAATGGCACAACAGAATGATGGTGGTAAATTGTCTCTATTCACATTTATAATAAAAGTAAAGAATCCTTTTCACAGCAGTGGCTATTAGGCATATTCTTCTTCTTTCGTTGGCTTGAAATAAATTATCTGTATCTGCAATGTTGTCTACAGTATGAATATCACTGTCTTTTGCAATTCACGCAGTGACCCGTAAAGTTTGGGTTCCACCAGTGTCTCTCTTGGCCAGAAGTTCTGCCTGAAAATGTTGTTTGGTAGTCTTAGAGGATGTGATCTGTTGTATCAGGTGCCAGTCCACATGTGCACATGGCTAATTAGACGATTAGGCATATGATTTTATATCTAAATATTGGCACTCAATGGGTGGTCAAAATAATGCTGGCTGTTTTTAATTTCCTCCTACCAATTTTAGACTGGAACAAAGTGGGAGCCAAGGTTTATTATTCAAAAATCCAACTGGATGCAAGTTTGAACTCAAGACCTTCGGAGTGACAGCCAGGCATCTAGCTACTGCACTCTTTCATGCAATGCAAACTGTCTTTACACATATCTGTAACTGTGTGAAGGTAGCTTTACAAATACCTATAACTGTCTGCAGGTAAATTGTCTTTACAAATATCTGTAAATTGTCTGAGGTAAATTGTCTTTAATCTGACCTTTGTAATTCTATCTGTACAATTCCATAATTTATTCAGTTGTTTTAGTCTTTGAAGAGCAATTGATAGTCGCCGTTTAATTTCTTTCAATGGTGACACAATGAAAGAAATTAAACAGCGACTATCAATTGCTCTTCAAAGACTAAAACAACTGAATAAATTATGGAATTGTACAGATAGAATTACAAAGGTCAGATTTTTAAGAGCATGCATCTTTCCCATTGCAACATACGCCTGTGAGACCTGGACACTTACTAAACAAGCGGAACAGCGCATAAATGCATTTGAATATAAATGCTACAGACAGGTTCTAAGAATATCTTGGGTGAAGAAAAGAACAAATGCATCCATACTTCAAGAGCTGAATATTGAAGAGGGTTGGCTAGTAAAGACAATAAAACAAAGAAAATTGAAATATTTTGGTCACTTGAAACGTCATGGAAGTCTAGAGAGAACAATAATGGAGGGGTATATGCCTGGGAAGAGAGGAAGAGGAAGGCCAAGGAGAAGATGGGTGCAGGATGTGGCAGATGATCTCCAGATGGGTGTATCAGACGCAGGACATCTTGCTCAGGATAGGAAGGTTTTCCGGAGGGTTGTTATGGCAGCGAGGTTCCGCGAGGGACATGCTACTGAATGAATGAATGAAATTGTCTTTATGCATATATGTAAATGCATGAAAGGTAAGTTATTTATACAAATATGAGTAAGTGTGTGACTATAAACTGTCTTCACGAACATCTATAATTATGATTAGGTAAACTGTTTCCCCTCGTAATTAAAATTGCAGAGGTAAATTATCTTCATACATACATGTGTGTATGCCCACACACACACAAATATGTATACATGTCTGTGTGTGTATATGTGTGTGGTGTGTTAGAGAGATAGAGAGAGGAGAGACAGACATACAGAAAGAGAGAGAGCAATTATAGTTTTAAATATATATATATATATACTAGCCGTACCTGGCCACGCGTTGCTGTGGCATAGTTTGGCTAAATGGAAATGAAAGAAAATAGAAATCGCACGTGACTAATACAATCATTGTCTGTTCAGATGTAGAGATAGTCTTTAATCTTTGATCCCCGCCCCCCCCCCCCCCCCCCCCCACCACCACAACTAAATCCACCTACTACTCTCTCCCTCATCAAAGGTTTTTGGAAAAGAAAGACAATGGAAATCGCACGTGTCTAATATAGTTAATATCGCAATCATTCTCTGCACAGATATAGAGATAGTCTGGTTTTCCAACTTTAGATCACGCACCTTATAATTGTGTCTTTATATTAGTGGTCGTTTAAATGGTGTTATTAGCACAGTAACAAAAATGGTTATTTGGTTATCACATGCTAAAGCTGTTTGTATTTTTATAGGAGTAAAGCTACAACTGTACTTGTAAATAACAAAGTAAGTCGTAAAAAATAGAAAAGCGGAGGTAGCGTTAGTAAAATATAAACAAATTAGGTAATGAGAACCTGAAAATCATGTGTAAAGCTCTTTAAGTTCTCTTAAATTAAAGTCATTACCCCCTCCCCTCCCCTCTTCCACCGACTACTGCTCTCTCCCTCTTCGAAGGATTTGAAAATCATTACCTGGCGATATTTTGTTGCTGCTGTAACTGACATTGACATCCCTGTCCATCCGGACTAAAATGGGGAGCAGGAATTGTAATAGGTAGTGAATGGGGCTAGTGTAATATTTACCACATCATCCTTCAAGTACCAGTACAACTACTACCACGACCACTACCACAGTAGCTAAAATAATGTCACTGCTATCTGTGTTACCATCGGAGTAGACAGAGAGTCGTGAGCCAGAAGATTTGGTTCCGCATGGCTAGTGCTGTCGCCACAGACTGGTCAGGTTAGGATGTATAATTTCGCTTCACGAGAGAAGAACGCCATAACCTTACCGGCGGTCTTCACATGAGAGCACTACGGTGTAACAGCCCAACCACAACTACTACTGCTGCTGCTACTTTAAGTGGGTAAAGTAGTTACTGTGACTTAAAGCTCTCTCAGTTTACAGTTTGCCCCCCCCCCCCTTTCAAATTCACCGACAACTCTTTCCCTCATTGAAGTAGTTAGGAGGAAAAAAAAACTTGAAAAGCAAATGAAAACAGGAAAAAAAAAAAATAATTAGGAAATGAACGCTATGGTTAACAGCACAGCTTAAAATTCCAACGCAGATGAAATAACTAAATCTAAATGAAAATAAATGGAAAGCTATGAAATTTCAGCGTAACCATGCAATCGGAAAGTTTAAAAATGCAATCATAAGTATGCGAAATGGTTAAATTTAATTATCAAATGGTTTACCCATTTACTTGTCTTTTTTTTTTTTTAGTATTAAGGGTAACATGGCTAGTGCTGTCACCACGACAGAGCAGATGAGGATATTATTTTATTCCGGGGTAAAAAAAAAAAATTTAACTACTGCGGATTCTAACCCTGGTCTCCCGCACGGGAACCCAGTGTTCTAACCATTCGACCAAGCAGCCACTTCATCGGAGCAACGAAAAGAGAACTAAACTATTAGAGATGTGTGTCCCTTCTACTGTGTCCCGATTATAACACAACTCAAAACCGCAGGCAATTGTTTTCTCATAGACAGATACTTTAGATATATTAATGAAACGACACAACAATAGAAATCGCACGTTTTTAACACGGTTAATGAAGTTAATGTTGCAGTCAATGTCTGCGCCAACGTCGAGATAGTCCTTGATGCCCCCCCCCCATCAAATGTTGTTAAGAAAAAAAACAGAAAATAGAAATCGTGTTTAATATGGTTATTGTGGCAATCACTGCCTACACAAACACAGAGATAGTCTTGTTTGCTGTACCACGACCTACTCTATGTATTAGAGATGGCGTTGGCTGCACGTAACTCGCCGGCGAATGGTGGAAGTCTTGCATTTTGACTACGGCGCGTGCGCAATTACTAATGTGGCTATAATTAGATGTCACTAACAATTTAAATATTAGTTTCGAATATTTTTGCTTAAATTGTCGCAAACTATCTCTAACAATGACACGTTGAATTTCAAACCATGATGGGTGAACATCCAGTATCAAAACAAACATATCCTGAAAATTTCAGCTAAATCGGTTCAGTAGTTTCCAAGTCTATAGCTCATAAACAAACACACAAACATTGATTTTTATATATATATGCACACACATATAAGTGAGAGGAGTTAAATCACCTTTACTCACATCTGTAATTGTGTGGAGATAAACTGTCTTATCAATTCCACCTCACTCTGCATGTAGACATAACACACAATGGCAAGACATACCTTATCTGTTCCATCGCTTTCCTCATGTAGACTTTTAACTTCAGCAGCGGAACTTCTTTAGGTATTTTCAATACAGCTGCAGTAAAATGGCTGAGAAACTTCCGAATGGCTCTTGCAAATGCTTGGAACACCAAGCCACCAGTATAAAATGAGTTCAGAACAGGAGGTTGTGAAAAACTGGTGAGTCGTGCAAAATATGTCCCACATTCCACAAACTCTGACAAGAAGCTAGAAAGCATCTCTGGTGATGCCCCAGTGACGTGAAGTCCATCTCTAGTGCTGAAGCTAAGAGTTTCCTAACAAACAAACAAAGCAATAGGTTATTGTTATTACCATAGGGAGTCTTGCGAACAATAGGAAAACATGAAGTACAAGATACTTTTACCATACAAACTGTACACAATTTTTTGTAATGCTTTTCAAGATTCTATACCACTTCTTCTTCTTCTTCAGTATTCCAAGTCCTTGAGGTTCATTGCTGCAGATATCACCCGCTTCCATTCATCTCTCTGCCTGACCTTCTCTTTCCAGTCGGTGACACCAAGTGTTTGCAGGTCTGTCTGAACATTATCTCTCCATCTTCTTCTTGGTCTGCCTCGTGGTCTACGACCATTCATCTCCCTTGTGTATATAGTTTTTACTCCTCGTCATCTGACATTCTTTCAATATGCCCTAACCATTTCAGTCTGTTAGCATTCTATACGACTAGAGTTTATTTTCCTTTTTCTCACTTTCCTTTCAAAGGTTGTTAGCATACTTTATTGTGGTTTACAGCTAGGCTGAAATATTTCTGCCTTTTGGCCCAACAAATCCAACTTCAGCAAACCTCTAAATATAGTTTATTACAACATGCTTTTCTGGGTGGCAGTAGGTCCAAAATAATAATCAAAACAATTTTTTGAGTCTTGGAGATGTGGTGTTACAAAACAATTCTTAGATTTCCCTACACAACAAAAAAGAGACACATAGTTTTGAATAAAGCGATAGCTCAAAGACAACTTATCACAAACATATGGAAGAGACAGTCATCATTTTATGGTCATGTAATGAGAAGAAGAAAACTCAAAAAGTTGTGGCAATTGGAAAAGTTTGTGGGAAAAGAGACGCAGGAAGACAAGACGAGAACATTCTTGACAGCCTTTAGTCATGGCATGCAGCGGTGTCAGCACACGAAGTGATACATACTGTTGAAGATCACAGATTGTGAAGTAGCAATTTCGCCAGTTTATAAGGCACTGGTTGATGATGATTCTGATGATGACGATGATGAGGTCCAAAAGAGGATCATGCAAACCAGCAAGGGAAAGCCTGAGTGCAGGCACTGAGGGTTGCATGGCTAGTGAAGTCCCGATTAACTGTGCAAGTTAGGCTATTATTCTTCTTTTGTCCTACTACCAATGCCATAAAGCAGTGATTCCCAAACTGTGCGCTGCGGCGCCCCGGTGAGCCGCGACCTCCTCACAGGGGCACCGTGAAATATTCGAAGATACAGGTTTTTTTTTTTCTCTTACAAACAAATATTTGTACTTTTATACTTACTTCATACTTTTTTAGGGCGCAGTGGAAAAATTTTAATTGAAAAAGGCGTTGCAACTAAAAAAAAGTTTGGGAAACACTGCCATAAAGTATCACAGAGAGAAGCTAGATATAGTTTCCTGTCCTTTGCTAGCTGCACAGCACATGTTAATGTTATACTGCAGTTCTGTAGTGTCTTTTTTACTTTCATCGCCATGTCTTTCTTGGTTGGTCTCTTGACTTGTAGCTTGCTGTTCTCCAGCTGCTGGCTGATTTTATTCCATTCAGATCAAAGGACGAAACCATTTGATTCTTTGACATTCTTACATAAATCATTTACCAGCATTGTGTCTACAATTGTTTTTAGTTCTTCAATAATGACTCTGTCTCTTTTTGATTTTCCTGCCACATTTCTAATACCTCTGACCTCAAATGCTGCAATTTTTCATCAATGCTTTTCTAGGACTGTCCCTGTCTGGCAAACAGGAGATTTATCAGCTGCTTTTTTTTTGGTGTGCATGTTGAAATTCTGATGCCTCAAAAGTCATGCTGTTTGGTGGTTGGAATATTTATCAGTGGGGGTTTCAACACACATTTGCTGTTCCAGTAGGTCAGCATGTTAGCCACTGTGTTGGAGCAGCTTTATCTACATAGGAGTCCATGGGGAAGTGGTCAAGTTGTTTTATTTCAGTAGTACTCCACTGCTTTCTTAACAGTCAACTCTTGACACTTCCGTCGAAATCAATGCAAGGCGCCCCAAGCTGGAATCTAACTGGACACCTCGGAATTATGAAGCAAGTTTGCAAGGCCTAAGTCACAGATCATCATCATCATGTGTCCTGCCAACTGGCATAGGCCTTAAATAAGAGCAATTTATTGCATAAGTCAAAGATGCCATAATAAAGGTTTGTGTAAATTTACTCTTTATTTTCTAAATATGACTATTATAAAGTGTGGGCTATAGCAGAAATTCCAAAGTAAGAAGACTCCACAGATCTTAGTTAATCAGGAACCATTGTTGTATAGCTAAGAGCAACACCGAAGAAATATGTTTAAGCATCTTTAGAGGTATGGCAACTATGAAGTAATGATAGGAGTTAGTCTCTTCTTCATCTTCTTCTTCGCATTCACCAGCTGTAAACTCTGGTAGAAAGTTCTGGTTGTTCGTCCACTTATGGACTGTAGTCCCGTTCCAGAACCTGAGTGTTGCATGTGCATTCATTTTACAGATCTGACTCATGTGTATGCAGACTGTTGGTTGCTTGCCTCTCAGGCAGATGCACTCCTTCGAAGGAAGCTCCCAATTAGTTGACTCTTATGACATGCTTTTGGGTAGGCAGTGGGTCAATTCTTGTTGTTCCTACAATGGGGCCCCGGAACCCACACAGGAAATAGGAGTAAGAGAGAATGATAATGAGTTATGGAAAATATTTGTAGGGCACAATACAACTAAAGATTGTGTAATAAAAATACAAACTGCAATGCAGAAAATGGGAAGTATGATACAAATGTGAAAATAACATGAAGCAAGTGAAAATTTGTCAAGTTCACTTATGATATAGCAAACATATATCTCACGTAAATGCAAGACAAGCCAGAAAGCAAACAACATAGAGGCAAACCTGTAACCCCATGGACAGCAGACAAGTCCAAAAAATTATCAATGGAACATGACCTAGTTTTTACGGGGGAACTACCGTGAAACTAAATAGTTATGCTGATCTTTACTTAAAAAAAAACATTGATATCTTATTTTCACCTTCAAAGAAAGGCAGACAAATTTGCAATCTTATTTTTATCTTAAAAATGCAACCTTACTTTCACCTCATTTAAAAAAAATGAGAATTTTGCAGTCTCACTTTCACTTTAAAAAAAATCTGTGTTGCAGTCTTACTTTCACCTTCAAAGAAGCAATGTTGCAATCATATTTTTAAATTTTAAAAAAAAAATTATCTTCAACTTTTACAATGAAAAGCAGTTTTCTAACTTTCAATTAATATAACAAAACACTTGATCTTATTTTTAACTTCTACAAGAAAGTTCACAATCTTACTTTCAAGGAAATGTATAAGGAAATGCACAATCTTACTTTTTAAATTATACAGCCAATGGCTCTATCTTTCACAAACCTGACTAAATGGAAACAACAATGATGGAATGCCTGTCAACATCAACAGAATATTTTGTAAAAGAACAACAGGCTGGACTGTCACCAGCGGTGGGACACTGGCCTCAGAAGATAAGATTGCAGATACTCTCTGCCTCAGCTGAAGCAGCAGATCAAACACATGGGGCCCAGCTTCTGTCAGGTGGGGTTTCTCTGTGGGTCCTGGAGGGCTGTTGGCAAAAGACAAGACATAAATCCAGTTTTTTTAGTTTAGATGATTTCTAGAATAGTAGAAACACTACAGAAACAATGGTTAAGAAGCTAAATGAAGAGGGGAAAAAGACAAACAGAATGCAACTGACCCATCTGACCTAAGTCTTTATCACTGAGGGAGCTGTCGTGGTGCAGCGGCTACATGCTCGCCTGTTAATCAGAAGGTCATGGGTTCAGGTCCTGACACAGGACTTTTTTTTTTAATTACCTAGGCTGCCAAGCTCACCCATATTTTAATGGGTATAGGGTAAAGTCCTGGGAGGTAAAGGTGGCCAGCTTGATATTGACCACATCACCCACTGAGTGCCGATTGATCTCTAAAATATGGGTCTAACCTCATATGCCCAAAACGCGTGAAGGAATGGAAAAGGGACCTTTATCAATTAACTTTATCTATGAATAAACCAGTGTGACTCATAAGCTAACCGGTAAGCTACCAGGAAGCTCATCGGAAATGCATTAAATAGGGGTAAACAGAGTAAGGAAGAGATATAGCAAAGTGAAGCATTAATGAAAGAACAGAAAAGTCAGAACATGTAACCAACTCAAGCTATTCACTTTTGAGTGACGAAGTCAGGCCAGAACACTGTAATTGGACGTCCACTCATGCCTGTTAACCTGTGAGGTGCATAAGTTTAAATGGCAGGAATGTCAGGTTGGTGAAACACTGTATTGTCTCAACAGTCTTACCAGCAACCACCCGTGCTCTATATTACAGGATGTGAGCTGTTTCAACGACCCATAACATGTACAACTGGCCCTAATGCCAATCTCACACAATAAACCTAGGTCTGATGAGAGAGTGCATTCTACACCTCTCTAGCGTAGACCAGCCTGACTAATTGTCACGAGACGACCTCAGTGGTTCCAGAAGTTAGTACTTGTAATAAGTTCTTCTGGTTCTAAAGAGACAGGATTATATTTACTCTGCCCTTTACCCTAATATCACTTTAAACCAAATTGATTTAAATTGTTACCAGTCCTTCTCCGAGACCAAGCCACTGCGCTTTGTTTAAAATTACCTAACACTACGTAATACAGCCCGCTGGTTCAGACTAGGGATGTTAGGTTTGATTCTCACGTCAGTGTCAGAATGTTATCTCCTAACACAGACTGAGTGGGGCCCTTTTGAACAGGGGAACTGAGAGTGGACTAGTAGAGATTGTGGCGACCAGAGGCTGGAGTTCGCAAGTCAGTGTAATTCTCCGGAGAACAGGTGGTTGCCAATTAGGAATGTTTGATCCTGGTCAAGTAGGAAACTCAATGGCTTCACTGACAGTCTTTTAACACCCGCCAGTTAGATTCGTTGTAAACTAGATTGGGTCACTTAAGAATGTTTGCTCTAGGGATGTCAGTCCAGAATTGACTGACAGGCCACTTGTTAGCTAATTTGATCTGATAGGTACTTCAGAGGCGTGGCTTAAGTCATCGTCTTGAGGGTTGGGTAGAACCGAGTAAAGGGAGGAGTTTAACCTTTGAGACAGTTAGATTGTATACTTCGAGCCTTTGGAATTGCCGTCACATCGCAGCTAGCAAGCAACAAACACAGGTCGACGTAAAGGTATTTTACGGTCGGATGCTGGTTTGGCGATTGATGGAAAGTTCCCAGGTGAATATTAATTTTAATCTTGTATACATAGGTTAGGGAGTTAAGCTTAGTCTATACTAACTTTTCCTAATTTGTCTGCACATTCTGCTTGAAATAGTTCTTTGTGAGTATTCAGTATCTCAGTTAGGGAACTGCTAAACTATTCCTATTTCTTGGATGTTTGTGTCACATGTTTTTCAGTGTATGTTTTCATGTGTATAAAATAAGATGTGAACAATGACATTTGCTATAATGAAATGTAATTATATTGTTTCATGGTCAACCCAAAACATGTGCTTGGATTGTGAGAAATCCTGCCCATATGCGCAGAGTTTTAATAGCTCACCATGTGCTCCCTGGAAAGACAATATTCCAGACATCATGCACATATAACATGGTGGGAGTTTTCAGCACATAACCTGCTCCACGTGGTCATGTAATATCAATGTCAGCCAGTTGTTGGAAGTCTGAGTGATGACGGACAACAGACTTAGAAAGTCAACTATCATGACATAGCATGAAGAGGGAAGGCAGGATATGTGACGTCCATGTAAGACAAAATACCTTCAGACTAGACTGGAGAGGATGTGGAATATGAGGAGGAGTGATGGGATATATTTTATTATTATATGTTACAATAATTGATACATGTATTCTTAGTGTAAGTCAAGATACTACACGTATGTGTTTGTTTCCATGATTACAGCGCCCATGTGACGATCAGTCCATGAAAGAGACTACATTGTGTTAGACTCGGCCAGCTGGGAACGATGTGGAGAACGATGTGGAGAACGAGGTGGGAATGAAGTGGAGAATAAGCTGAAACAGGCAGAAAACAGGCAAGAAAGAGTTGGACAAGCTTGACAGTTCTTCACGGCTGTCAGAGGCTTATAAGTTAAGTTAACATCTTTTAAGTTAACATATCACCATCATCACACCACTCTAAACCCCGGAGCTGTTTTCTCGCTGAAGCTATCACTATCATCACCTTAACCAGTCACTGTTTGTGTAAATCAACAAACTGGGAAGTTCATTGTTAGTAAATAAAGCTGTATGTCAAGTTTTATCCTGCATCAGTTTTTGTAATTCCAAATGTCTGTTCTTACAAGTTTAATTAAACTATTAAGATAGAATACCATTTGGTGGGGGCTCAATTAATATGATAATAATTCTTTAATTATTCATAATAACACCGGGAGAAGGTAGAAGACGGAGGAATCATTTGCCCTCTCTAATAATTCATTAAATATAATGATAGACATCTAAAATTCCTTTCCTTCTCTTGTGGGTACCAAGTTCAGCTAATGTTAATGTACTTAACGAGCCAATATGGCTGTTTTCTTGGATATCCAGGACTTTGTCTGAGAGCAACATAGCTCAGATTTTAGTTCGGTTAATCTGGTGGAGGGAATGTGTTGAGAGGAAAATCTCTACTCAACTTATAAACATTTAATCCACCGCGTCACGTCACACTAATCATCAATGACAGGTCAGCTAGCGTGTAGCTAGACCTGGGTCCAAAAAGTTATAACAATCATTTAACAAACAAACCAAAAAAAGTGAGTAAGTAATTACTATCCAATCCATTCCCAAGTATAGTGCTTTGACCTGGGTTCTGTAAGAGCTCTTTCCCAAATCGAGTCATCGCTCTCTGAAGTGTCACCAATAGTAATCACAGAGCTGGACATGGAAGCACTACCACTGCCAAGTCCTGACTCCACTGACATCTGAGATGTGGAAAACTTTCATGACAAAAGGTACAATAATACTTTTTAAAGGTTAAAGGTTAAAGACAAGAGGATCAACTTCATTGCACCTGGTTTTATATCCTCATAAAGCATTAATTCCGTGGCTCCGGCAACGATCCCAAGGGATCTCTGTAAAAACTGCACTCGGGAAATGAACAACCCAGCCATGAAATGAACCCATGGCCTTCAGAGCACGAGGCAAATGGCTTGACCACTTCGCCACGCAGATCCCCAATAATACTTTCTTCTTCTATCTAACTACTGTCCTTCTTTGGTTAATGCTGTTGGCTAATGATAGGTTTCCGGGATAGTGCTTGTTCGTTAGCTTCTTACCTATAAGAATTCCCCATGTCGTTTTTCATGCAACATTCTGGGGTAAAAAAAACTGACCCACTGCTCCCCCTCCCCACCAACAACAAGCACATCGTAAAAGGCAACTAATAAAGGGAGTGGATCTGCTTGAGAAATGAGGAATTAAGAGTCTGCATATAAATAAGCCAGATATGTAAAAACGGATGTGCATGCAAACTCAGGTTCTGGAAGAAGACCAAATCTAGAAGTGGATAAAGAACCAGAACTTTCAGCCAGAGTTTACAGCAGGGGAATACTAAGAAGAAGAAGAATACATAAATTAACGAGAGAGTAAATGCCACCCCACAATTTAAGCCTGCATACGATAGGAAGGTAACACTCCAGTTAAGTTGGCTTCTCTGAGAATAACTGTCAGGATTTTAAACTGTTATTTAAAAATAAGTATTCAGTGTTCATGTGGCATCTTAAAATGTTTAGAAAAGTCGAACATTTTGTATGACAGTGTGGCTCAGAACGGCATTGAGAACCAACACCATAAAGAGAGGGTCACTGCAGCGACTGCAATTGTACTTGAACATGATTCAGATGACATGGCAGGAGACAATATCATCTAGACATCATTAGAGCTACAAATGCACAACAATCCCTACATACAATTATTCTTATGCCCAATGCCAAACTTTCCTTACATACACAACAGTTCATACATAAAATTATTCTTATGCCTAATGCCAAACTATCCTTACATACACAACAGTTCATACATAAAATTATTCTAATGCCTAATGCCAAACTATCCTTACATACACAACAGTTCGTACATAAAATTATTCTTATGCCTAATGCCAAACTATCCTTACATACACAACAGTTCGTACATAAAATTATTCTTATGCCTAATGCCAAACTATCCTTACAAACACAACAGTTCATACATACAATTATTCTCACACCTAATGATAAACTATCCTTACATACATATCAGTTCATATATACAATTCACACATACAATTAATCTTACATATAATGCCAAACTATCCTTACAAACACAACAGTTCATACATACAATTATTCTTACACCTAATGCCAAACTATCCTTAAATACATTTCAGTTCATATATACAATTCACACATACAATTAATCTTACATATAATGCCAAACTATCCTTACACATACACAACATACGGAGTTCTCTCCCTTGGCCGCACTGCAAACAGTGATCGGAAAAGCCAACGAAACAAACGACACACTTACCTATCATCATACGGTTGCGTGTAGGGCTGCGTACGGCTGCGTGAGGCATCGTGAAGGGATGCGTGGTCATCATATGGTTGCGTGCAGGGTTGCGTACGGTTGCGTGAGGCATCGTGAATGGTTGTGTAGTCATCATGCGGTTGTTGGGTTAGAGTTAGGGGTAGGGTTAGGGTTAGGGGTAGGGTTAGAGGTAGGGTTAGGGGTAGGGTTAGGGTTAGGGGTAGGGTTAGGGGTAGGGGTAGGGTTAGGGTTAGGGGTAGGGTTAGGGTTAGATGTTAAAATTTTGACGTGGGGTTTCGAAATACTGGCCGACAATCTGATGTTTGTGGGCGTGGCGCCACTGAAATTCTGCTAAATATGATGCCAATAGTGCGCGGCTGGTGCCCAATCGTTGGCCAATTGTGCGTTTCACCAGCATCCAGAGGCCCTCAATTGTTTGTGTGTGTATGTGACTGTGTACGGCGTCGACGAAGTCGGTCTGGTGGACTACTACCTCGTGCAGATAGATGCCATGCCGTAAGTTTGCCACGTTGCTGTAGCCTCGCCAAGCGTCAGTCACGATAGTCGTTCCCGGCAGGACGCGATCTGTTATGATCCTCTCCAATGTCGTCGCATCTCATCTTTGCACAAGCTCCAAGTAGCAACGGCCAGTGTGACGCTCTACTAGCCCTACGACCCAACGACCGTGACTGGTGCGACCGTGCTGATACTTTCGTCGGAAGAAGTAGCTCTCGTCTACTTCAACCACGATAGATCTGCCGGCCTCATCGAGTCCTCCCAGCTCCACGGTATGTCTCAACAGCCAATTATAGCATTCTTGCCGGAAATAATTGTTGTAGTTTACAATGGTGTGCCAGGACGTGAGTCTGCCATGTTGCTTGTGTCGTTTGTTTCGTTGGCTTTTCCGATCACTGTTTGCAGTGCGGCCAAGGGAGAGAACTCTGACTAAGTCGTCCAAGGCTTTTTATTCTTCGTCCGGATTTTACAGGTGTACCCAACATACAAACACACAATCATTCTTACACCTAATGCAAAACTATCCTTACTTACATAAAAATTCATACATACAATTATTCTTACACCTAAAGCCAAACTGTCCTTACATAAAAATTCATACATACAATATTCTTACATCTAAAGCCAAACTATCCTTACATACATGAAAATTCATACATCCTTTCATACATAAAAGTTCATACATACAGTATTCTCACACCTAATGCCAAACTATCTTTACATGCACAACATGTCATATATACAATTATTTTTATAACTAATGCCAAGCTATCCTTACATACACAACATTTCATATAAGTAATTATTTTTACAACTAATGCCAAGCTATCCTTACTTACACAACATTTTATATATGTAATTATTTTTACAACTAATGCCAAGCTATCCCTACATACACAACATTTCATATATGTAGTTATTTTTACAACTAATGCCAAGCTATCCTTACATACACAACATTTCATTTATGTAATTATTTGTACAACTAATGCCAAGCTATCCTTACATACACAACATTTTATATATGTAATTATTTGTACAACTAATGCCAAGCTATCCTTACATACACAACATTTTATATATGTAATTATTTTTACAACTAATGCCAAGCTATCCTTACATACACAACATTTCATAAATGTAATTATTTTTACAACTAATGCCAAGCTTTCCTTACATACACAGTAGTTCATATATACAATTATTCTAACATCTAATGCCATTATGACAGTTGACATAAAACTACCAATGCATGATTTGACAATCCACACATAAAATGACCCTCACCTGTGACAATGATGTGGATTTTTTGCATCTGAACTCTGGAATCCTGTAAATCATTTTATATATTCAGTTCTTAATGAAAAAGAGAAAAGCTCCTAAAAAAATGCTAGTGTGCTCTCTAGTATTTAATGGGAAACTGCCTTTATTTTAAAGTCAAAACATTCACTGTTTTTTTTGTTGTTGTTTTTTTCTACAAATCTGTCACTTAAAATGCAAGGCAAAATATCTTCCAAACATACTTGGCCTTCATTATAGTTTGTTTCCGCTCCAATGCAATGACAAAAAAAATAATAAACCAGGCTTCAAATGTGTGGGGGAAAAAGACATACCCCAACTACAACTGTGTTTTAAATAAACTGCAATTAGGTTTAATATATATATGGACGTAATAAACAAACATAAACAGGGTGTAACATTAAACCTTCCATGGGGTCTAAACAATATATATATATATATATATATATATATATATATATATATATATATATATATATATATATGGACGTAATAAACAAACATAAACAGGGTGTAACATTAAACCTTCCATGGGGTCTAAACAAAACAAAAAAACTTATCATGTGGCTCAAGCTATGACACGGTGACCTAAATCACAGAGGTGCATGACAAACTTTGATGTCAACTTGGCTGTACAAAAACCTCCCCCATGCTATTTTTAGTTAATGTGTTCATATCCTGACCTCTTTAGAAATATTAACAATGCCACAAACAAAAGGCATGTGGTTGATCCATGATGACCTCTATAGAAATAATAACACTGCCACAAACAAAAGGTATGTGGGTGTTCACTTCACATTGAAGGCCTCCTCAAACATATCAACAATGTCACAAACAAAATGCATGTGGTTGGTTATTTCACTTTAGAATACATCCTTAAAATTATACACACTGCCACAAACAAAAGTCAAGAGGGTGATCAATTCACCTTGAAGACCTCCACAGAAATTTCAACAATACCATAAACAAAAGGCATGTGGGTGATCACTTCACCATAAAGAACTCTTTAGAAATATCAACAATGGAAAAAAAAAGGGCATATAGGTGATCACTTCACCATGAAGACCTCCACAGAAATATCAACAATTGCAAAAACAACAGACACATGGTTGATCACTTCACCATAAAAAACTCATTTTTTAAATTATAAACAATGGTAAAAGCAAAGGGCAAATGGTTGATCATTTCAATCACCATGAAGACCACAAAGCAACATTTATTTACCTTATGCTACAATCTGAGCTCAAATCTGGCAATGACAGCTGGGTACCAAGATCCGTCACTCTGCCTTGCATCAGACCCCCAAATAATGAATTATGAGTTGTCTGTTCATGTAAGTCACCAAGAAGAAACTGCAAGAAAAATGTACATATTTACACCAAAAAGTTGCTCTGTGTGTAACATTTACAAATACTATTTTTTAATTTACTAAAAGAAAAAAGAAAACGGCAAAAGAGTAGAAGATGGATGCTTGCTTGCCGCCCAAACCTCTTTATGAATTCATAACATGGTTTCTAGGCCAGCGATGCCAAAATATGTTCTAGGAAATTTCCTGAGAAGTACATAACACTGGTCAGATGCCAGTTGTATAAACACATGGATCTAGCTGCTTATGTTCAATGTGTCGATGACATGAAAAGGGTCTTATACAGGTCACTAAAACATCTTTTTAGAAATGTATTTACCTAAAATGCTTTTTAAATACATTAGGATACATGTAATCAATAAACATAAACAGAGTGAAGCATTCAATTAAATATGGAGCTTAAACATACAATTTATGTTGGGTGACGTTGGGTGACTTATGCCATAACCCATTGATCTATACCACTGAGGCCTACGGGAAAATCTGACATCAACTTGGCTTTAAACATTTAAACTTAACTGAATATACTTCTTACCCATCGTTAAATTTATTGAGAAGCAAAGAATGAAATGGTTTGGTCACCTAATGAGAATGGAACCAACGATGCCAGCATCAAGAGCATACAATATGAAAATCGAAACACCAAGAGGCAGGGGAAGACCAAGAAGAATATGGATTGAAGGAGTCACTGACAACTTGAGACTTCCTAACATCACGGCATATGAAGCGACTGAGCGCGCCCTGGCTCAGTTGCCGATCATCTGATAGACTGCGACGCCTAGCGGCACAAGCAGCTTTTGACAAAAGAAGAAGAAGAATAATAATATACTTCTTCTTCTGTGTTCATCCAAAGATTTAAATGCCTTGTGCTCGATTATAGCACGGCTGCGATATTTGCACCTTTCGGCCAAAACATCCGACTTCAGCAGGCATTTGTTGACCGGATTAGATTTCCCTGTAAGTTTCCTGGAACACTGCATTTTCACTGTTGTTTGGTCATCTTTGTTTCCCAGGTCACAGGTGGTGCCATACATCAGACCAGTCCAGAGAAGCCACATAATGCTGGTCAGCCCTCAAAAGAAAGGCAGGGGCAGAACATGAGCACTCCCCACCATTCAAGGAGGCTTCCATAAATGCAGAGCAAATACATGGTGGTCTAGTACTGGGCTCACTCACGGAATCGTCACGTTCTGCTCATGATGGTTTAACCTTGCTTCTATATATTGAACATCTCATTCATCATAGGCTTTCTCTTTCAAAGCCAACAGTAGGTAATAAATCAAATACTTGTTATTTTAACCTAACATAGGTGAGAACCTAACAAATTTTATTTTAACCTAACATAGGTGAGAACCTAATAATTCACAGTTACATGGGCACATTCTATGAGATTAAAATCGACTCTCAACCATCCCACACACCAGAAATAAACCAACAGAAAACTACAATAACAAATTCCATGTACCTTAGTTGTAAAGAAACAGCCACTGCCTAGCCCTGCTCCTGGTGACGAGTCAAACATCTGTAGAATAAATAGATTCACAATTTACAAGTATACAACGGGACTTTATTGCTACAAGCAAAGTGACAAGCTTCACTTGCAAGGTCACAGATAGTGAGCATACTTTAGATTTTTTCTACAGGCCATGCTGGCATGGTGGGGAATGAATAGGCGGACAGAATGGCTGGATCTGCACCGCTGGGTGGTGAACTAATACTTGACAAGGCAGATGTGATCAGAGCCCTTTGGGAACAAGTAACGAAGTCAGAACAGAAACTAGATTATTATGGGCTGAAGAGAAAGCTGCACTTGGATGTGACAAGAGGGTTCGGCAGGTACACTATACTCAGAGGAAAGGCAAGGCAGACATACAACCAGACTATGACCGGCACCATTAGTACTGGAACTCTGTGCTGGCTGCTGAGGATGGAGAACGTATGGGAATGCCCTGAGTGCTGTGATGTCAATTCTTGACTCAACTCAACACACAAGAGGGCTTCAAATGAAAACATTAAAAATGTGATAGAAATAACAATAACCATGCTACTGCCTTGTAGCCTCTCAGAAATGCTGTTGAGGTCAAGAGTGTTAAGCAGTTTACTTTACAGTGCAGACGAACATGGTAATGTCATAATGACAGTTTAAAGATAGCTACCCCACGTCTGTTATGCAGCAAAGAGGAGCAGCATTCTGTTATCCATTTTTGGGGGGCCAGCGAAGGGGTGAAACCTACAGAATTTGTTAGTATGGTGATGCATTCCTGTCAGTCCAGCAAATTTATGAGTGCAGTATGAGGCCTTTAACAGCTGCAATCAATTCTGCGGGTCACTACTCCTGTGTTTGACACAGCCGTGAACAGTCTGTCATAGAAGTCACTGCGTGTTCAAACTTGCTACTCCACTCACATCTGCATTATATCTCTAATATGCGTTAGGAGATAACTCCAATATCCTTTAAGCCATAACTCCAATATCGTATGAGCCACTCCAATATTGTATGAGCCATAACTCCAATATCCTATGAGCCATAACTCCAATTTCGTATGAGCCATAACTCCAATATCCTATGAGCCATAACTTCAATATCATATGAGCCATAACTCCAATATTGTATGAGCCATAATTCCAATATCCTATAAGCCATAACTCCAATATCGTATGAGCCATAACTCCAATACCCTATGAGCCATAACTCCAATATCCTATGAGCCATAACACCAATATCAAATGAGCCATAACTTCAATATCCTATGAGCCGTAATTCCAATATCCTATAAGCGGTAACTTCAATATCCTATGAGCCATAACTCCAATATCCTATGAGCCATAACTCTAATATAATAAAGATTCAACATTACATCATTATCACATGCCAGGCCGCTATGCTGTCATGTATTGCCACCTCATATCATCATCAAAATCAATGATCAGATTAATGTTCTTGTTTTGCCCCAACCATGTGACCAAGCTATCCAGGTTTTATTCTTTTTGTCCTCTTCTAGCTCTCCTTCCATCAATCTTGCCAGCTGTTACCAAGTTCTTGAGTCACTTTCTTTTCATAACATGTCCACAAAATATTGACTGTCTACGTCTGCCACTTTCATCTGCCTTGATGAAGACTGCTTATTTGTTTTTTTTATCCCTCCATGATATTCTTTGCAGTCTTCTCAAAAAGCCACCTAATGCCAGTATACCATGGACCACAGCTCTAATTTACCATGTCACAGCATAGAAACATTTGACACAGTCATCTGCATACTCAACCACACAGCATAGTGCACAATAAACAAACAACTACAGATCTAAATTGAGTCTCAGTAGATGTGGATATTTGGGAAAATACACAAAATTTCTTGGAAACAAAAACAATCAAATACACAGGTTCTGGAGATACTGGGAATGGAAGTTAACAAAAAGAGCTGCTGAAAAAAGAAAAAAAAAAGAGACAAAGAGACAAATGGAACATTCTGATCACAATAAAATACACAACATTCTTTTTGAAAACCATACTAGCAGGAAATGTAGAAGGCAAGAGAACCCACACAATGATATAAACTGGGGTTGAGGGTGGGGCAGAGAACAACATCAAGAGAGTGTAAAACTCAGTCAAGAGACTGTGTGTGTTTGAAATCCATTGCAGTAAGCCTATAACGTGCGGATAACATCGAACTAGTTGATAAAAACAGCAGCCTTTATTAACAGCTACAAATACTTACTGTTTGTACAGCTCTGTCATCCACATGTGTAATGTTGACAGAAAGCCGTTCAAAAACATCTCTGAAATGTAAACAAGTAAAAAAATATTTGGAATATCGTTGAAATATATTTAAAAACATTTCAGAAATGTAAATAATCAAAACATATTTGGTATGTCCTCGGAATATATTCAAAAACACCTCTGAAATGTACACTGTCAAAAACTATTTGGAATATCACAGGAATATATTCAAAAACATCTCGGAAATGTAAAAAGCCAAAAACTATTTGGAATATTCTTGAAATATATTTAAAAACATCTCTGAAATGTAAATATTCCAAAACTATTTGGAATATCCTTGGAATATATTCAAAAACATCTCTGAAATGTAAATATTCTGAAACTATTTGGAATATCCTTGGAATATATTCAAAAACATCTCTGAAATGTAAATATTCAAAAACTATCTTGAATATTCTTGGAATTTATCCAAAAAACATCTCTAAAATGTAAATATTCAAAAACTATTTGCAATATTCTTGAAATATATTCAAAAACATCTCTAAAATGTGAATATTCACAAACTATTTGGAATATCTTTGAAATATATTCAAAAACATCTCTAAAATGTGAATATTCAACAACTATCTTGAATATTCTTGGAATATATTAAAAAACATCTCTGAAATGTAAATATTTAAAAACTATCTTGAATATTCTTGGAATATATTAAAAAACATCTCTGAAATGTAAATATTTAAAAACTATTTGGAATATTCTTAGAATTTATCCAAAAAACATCTCTGAAATGTATATATTCAAAAACTATTTGCAATATTCTTGAAATATATTCAAAAACATCTCTAAAATGTGAATATTCAAAAACTATCTTGAATATTCTTGGAATATATTCAAAAACATCTCTGAAATGTAAATATTTAAAAACTATCTTGAATATTCTTGGAATATATTAAAAAACATCTCTGAAATGTATATATTCAAAAACTATTTGCAATATTCTTGAGATATATTCAAGAACATCTCTAAAATGTGAATATTCACAAACTATCTTGAATATTCTTGGAATATATTCAAAAACATCTCTGAAATGTAAATATTTAAAAACTATCTTGAATATTCTTGGAATATATTAAAAAACATCTCTGAAATGTATATATTCAAAAACTATTTGCAATATTCTTGAGATATATTCAAGAACATCTCTAAAATGTGAATATTCACAAACTATTTGGAATATCCTTGAAATATATTCAAAAACAAAGGTGAAATGTAAATAATCAAACAATTTTTGGAATATTCTCATCATCATGTAGGAGGTCCTTTGCAAAACACTGCTCTCATCGCAGCCTACCTGAAATAAAATGCAGTCTGTCACCAGATCTTCCACCTCATGCACTTATATCCCATGATGATCTTCGTGCTGGTCGGCCCCTTTCTTGCACCATGCCTTCTGCTACTAATCTTTCAAATCTGCTGTGGCAATAGATAAGTCAAAATATTTCATTTTCCAAAAAAATGCTGTTTACTGGTCAATCTTCCTTGATGTTCAGATGTTTTAGAATGTGAGTATTTCTTTTCTTTTTGGTCGATGGTATTCTTAGAATCTTTCTATAGTTTTTCAGTTTAAAAGCCCCTATTATTTTCAACGGAGACTTAATCTGTCCATTCATGTTCAGAAATTCCTAATGATAAAATATCAAATGGAACAAAACTTGTTACATGCTGTAAGGCACCTCTTATATCTTCTTTTTTTTTTTGTATGCTCAGGTCAGACCATCATATAAATCTGCACATCAGTTGCAGGCCCATCATGGCTCCCCACAGCTCGCTCTGCACACTTTGTTCTTGAGGTCAGGTTTCTCTTTGTAGTTGTAAGTGTAGTGGGCAGGCCTGCAAAATGTGCTCAGATGCTTGTGGTCTTGTCTGACATGCACACTGTGGGAACTGTACAGTCTTTAATGTATGCACCTGGTAGCTGGACCTGCAGTATCTTGTTCTTATACCTCCTATTTCATGAGAAGACATAACTGATGAGGGGAAATAGCCATCCAGTCTTGTAGCTTAGGTTATGTGGCCAAAACACATCTTACCCCAATAGTGGTAGCTGCTTTGGGACAATCTTCACCATTTATGACTTAAGATACCTACTTTGGATAATGCATGTAAAACTGTGAGCTTCTGCTGAGCTGTTTGACATCTCCATAACACAAGGGTCCATCAGGAACAACTGTTGGTTCCTGTGGAATTTAGAATTAAATAACAAAGACTGAAGACCACTGGAAAAACCACTCATAATAGTCTACTAAAATAACTCTCAAACAAATGCCCCATTGAAAAAAGACATAATAATGGCACCAACCACTGCATATAATTTGTATCTGTGATAATGACTACTGAAAATCTAGTTTATTTTGAGTGCTGTCTAGTGCAGTGTTTCTCAAACTTTTCTTAGTCATGGTGCCTTCTGTCAATTAAAATTTTTCCATGGCGCCCTAACCTAAGTAAAAGTATGACTATTCATATGCACACACACAAAAATATTTCGCGGCGCTCCTGTGAAGAGGTCGCGGCTCCCAGGGGCGCACAGTTTAGGAATCACTGGTCTAGTGTAAAATTAAATGACATGGGATATCACAGACAGAAAAGCAGTAGACAGGCAGCAGCGGAGATCACCTGTGAATGCCTTATGTGTTAACAGCGACAAAAAAGAGGATAAAAAAAGATACAGACACAAAAGAAAAGTAGTTACCTTTCTCAGTTCCTTAGGCTCTGGTATATTAAAGACACCAGTTCCCAACTGCTCTGACTGTGACTGATTTCCAGTACCCTTCAAGGCCACAATCAACTTCAAGATATGTCCAACATCCTGACTGCAATCTTTAGAAACAAATACAGTGCTGGTTATTTCCTTTCAGTCACAAGCTAAGGCAGATGTTCTTATCCACATACTTCTTTATCGCATTCAGTGGCTGTAAACTCCGGCAGAAAATTCTGGTTGTTCATCCACTTGTGGACACTGGTCTTGTTCCAGAACTTGAGTCTTTGTGTGCAAATCTGTTTTATAGATCTGGCTTTTATGTATGCACTGTTGGTTCCTATCTCTCAAGCAGATGCATTCTGACTTCGAAGGAAAAACCTCAAATTGCCTATTATGACATACTTGTAGAGGGGAGGTGGGAGGTAACGGGTTTATCCACACCCCTCCCCCCTTTTCAATGGGGCCATGAAACCAATTGTGGGAATCCAGGATTCAAAACGCAAGATCACTATTATAATAAAAATATAAAGTAAGTAAGGGAAAGACCTATCTCATGTCAATCGTGGATAAAGGGTGCTAGACACTCAGTTTTAGAGACCAATCCAACACCTGATGACCGATATGGTCATTATTACACAACTGGCCTGCGCTTTACATAATGTTTATTGGTACCTATGTGGAGTTGAGTTTCAAAAACTGAAATCACAGTGCTCTGGACATTTCCATAAGCTCTTCATCCTCATCTTTAGCAGCAGTGAAGAATTCCAACTCCGATCGTGCCAGTTCTGGTCGCATTGTATGCCCTTCTTGTCTTTCCTCCGAGTGTGAAGTGTCGACTAGATCCCCTGATCACTCCTAGTTGCACCAATTCCTTTCAAAACCATGATAATCTAATTGTGCCTAGGCATTGTTCACTTACTCCCAAAGGGCTTTGACAGCATCTAGATTCTCATGCATCAATTTACCACCGAGTGGTGCAGAACCAGCCAGTCTGTCAGTTCATTTCCCAAGACACCTGCATGCCCTGGAGAAAATTATTTAAAGGATGCTAACCACACTAGACCTCTGAAGTCAAGCATGCCATCTTGTATGGAGCACTGGCACTCATGTAAAGCTGGGTCGACCTGAGAAGGAAGCTCAATAATAAAAACTGCTTGTTAGGAGAAAGCTGGGCATACCTTTTCTAAGCATATTAAACAAGTTTTCAAGTCTGTCTGCATCTTCAAATTGTCGCTGCATACGCATTTTGTAAATTTCCAGCAAAATTCCTTCAACATCCTTTCTATTCTGTATTTCCAGGCACTCATGATCTCTGGTTAAGAAATAAAACAATCATATTACAAAGCTTCCTACAGAATTTCAACATGAAAATTCATTTTTAATTTACCAAATAAACTCATTTTTCTGGTTAGGCGGATCAAAAGTTAGTAAACATGTTTTACAATTCTCGAGTATAGAGTTTGATTTCTGCAACAGACATTTTGAAAAAGAGAATGCATGAGAATCAGACCATGGAAGAGATTAGGACCTCACCATGTAATATTCACAAAGACAGTAATGGACACACTGCAGTCAACCTTAAACCACACTGTGTGCGACTGGCTCTTCTTTCTGTGTCCAAAACATCACATCAAGCATCCTCTTAACTCTTTTGAGTCCCAAGGAACGCATAATACTTTCATAGGTTACTGCATAGAAGCCCAATGAACGCATAATGCGCCAATTTTACGTCTCTTTTGACTACCCCTTGGGCCTGTGTTGCTAAACCCTCTGGGACTCAAAGAGTTAATGGTTATGTTTGGTCAGTGTACACTAAAGTGTTCTGACTACCCACAGTACAATGTAGATTCTCTGTAGTTTCTTCAAAGTTTCTAGATGTATATGTCTTGCAGAAGTTTATAGCAGTAGGACATAAACAAATTTTTTTTTTTTAACTTTCATATTTTCTAAAGAAAAAGTTGGGGCTGAAAGAATTTAATAAAAACATTTCTGGCATAGGAACAAATACAACACTGTACTAAAAACCAAAACCCAAAACAGAGATGACTCCACATGAGCTGATATCAAGAAATAAATTAACAGAACAAAAAAAATAGCTAGGAAATTCAATGAAGGAAAAATCTGCGTAAATGCAACCGAATGTTCAACTCAAGATTTCACCAATAATAAAAACAATTTTAATCACAAACTACAAAAAAATGAGATCCTACAGAACAGAAATGTGAAAAAGCATACTAGAGGGGACATTAGAAGGCAAACATACATCAGTATCGCAACGGTTTGAATAGAAATTAGGTAAGTGAAGGACCCTTTTCCATGCCTTTAGGCGTATCGGGCATATAGGGCTAGACCTATATTTTATAGACCGATCAGCACTCAGTGGGTGATATGGTCAACATGATGCTAGCCGCCTTTATTTCCCAGCAGCGTAACTTGTTCCCATTTAGTGCTGGGTCAACTTGAGAGAAAAGGTTATTTTTTAAAAAGGTTCTGGCTCTGTCAGCCCGATAATAATAAGCCTTGAGATTGGCTGGCTGGTCTTCATACTAGCTAATCAGATTACTTCTCATATTTCTTGCACATGTGGGCTGTTTAATGGTGGCTTTTGTGAAAGGTTGTTGCATTCTGCAATATTACCTCGATTGGTTTTTTTGGGGGAAAAAGGGGGGGGGGGGGTACCTGTGCCCAAAAATAGTGAAAAACGACTGTTGCGTCATAGCAACCACAATATAGTAGGAGCCAGAAAAGGAGTAGAATCATGTGCCAGAGGTGTCTGGAGGGCCTACATGGGCCTTGCTTCCCAAAACACAAGTGTTAAGACTTTTGCAGGCTTCATTCAGCAAAAATGTTGCCAGATTTTTCAATTTACTCATGTTTGTCCACAGTAATTTTTCATTTTAATGTATGTACAGAAATGCAAATTTTATATCTACTACGAATAAATATTGAGTTGTCAGTGTGATTCATAAAGATTGTGTTAGTTCATTTAGTTTCCTATACAGAGATAAATAGTTTTGTATATGTTATTCAAACACCTTTTTACGTGCATGCGTGTGTGTGTGCATATGTGTGTATGTTAACTAAGAGAATCCCCTCCTAAAGGCTCCGTCTTCTTGGCACTCAAACTTCAAAAACCCTTTATCTCCAAAGGGTTAATAAACAATGCTGGCTTCTTATAAAAGGGGCTGCCTTTTAAATTATTTTAGGTCTGTCATCTCTTGAAACACTGAATGAACCCTCACAAAGTAAAGAACTAACTTTTACAGATCAAGCCAGAAAGCCATTAAATTTGAAAACAAATCACTATGAAAGAAACAACCCAAATAAATTCACCCAGTATTTCTATACATGACAGTATGATTAAGAAATGATACTTACACAGTGTTTAAATACTGGAACAAAGCATTAAATGCCTTCTGTTTCAAACATTTCAGTTTCTTGCTGTGTGAAATAGCCGGCTGTACCCGAAAGGCACGCTGTGCTGGCCCAAGATGGATGTCACATAACTGACCAATCAACTCTACAACACTGGTCTCAATCATTTCATTATTTTATACATCTGAAATAAAGAGAAATTTCAAGTTTTATTCAGGTAAAGTAACAGTAGTAGAGTGTCTGGTCTAGTAATTAGATTTCTTGGCTACATTTTCAGATCTTGTTCTGAATCCTTGGTAAGATAAAGGGGATTTTTCTGTGATGGTCCAAAACAAACTTCCTAACCTGCAGTTTATTTTTATACATATACATTGTGTTGTTTTTTTATTTTTTATTCTTAATTTTTATGGTAAAGATTGAATTTAGTCTTCCAATTATCAAATTAGTGTCAACTGTCATATCCAAGAACAGTGTGGCAAAATCAAATTTCAAGACAAAGCAAACACCACTAGTGAAAAGAGTGTGTCAAACACCACTTACTAGTATAGTCTGCAAAAACACTACTTTCCAGTAAAGTGTGTTAAACAGCACTTACAATAATAGCATGTCAAACACCAGTTTCTAGATAATGGTGTACATCACTTATAAGAACATCATGTCAAACACCAGTTTCTAGATGAGTGTGTACATCACTTATAAGAACAGCATGTCAAACACCAGTTTCTAGATGAGTGTGTACATCACTTATAAGAACATCATGTCAAACACCAGTTTCTAGATAATGGTGTACATCACTTATAAGAACATCATGTCAAACACCAGTTTCTAGATGAGTGTGTACATCACTTATAAGAACATCATGTCAAACACCAGTTTCTAGATAATGGTGTACATCACTTATAAGAACATCATGTCAAACACCAGTTTCTAGATGAGTGTGTACATCACTTATAAGAACAGCATGTCAAACACCAGTTTCTAGATGAGTGTGTACATCACTTATAAGAACATCATGTCAAACACCAGTTTCTAGATAATGGTGTACATCACTTATAAGAACATCATGTCAAACACCAGTTTCTAGATGAGTGTGTACATCACTTATAAGAACATCATGTCAAACATTAGTTTCTAGATGAGTGTGTACATCACTTATAAGAACATCATGTCAAACACCAGTTTCTAGATGAGTGTGTACATCACTTATAAGAACAGCATGTCAAACACCAGTTTCTAGATGAGTGTGTACATCACTTATAAGAACAGCATGTCAAACACCAGTTTCTAGATGAGTGTGTACATCACTTATAAGAACAGCATGTCAAACACCAGTTTCTAGATGAGTGTGTACATCACTTATAAGAACAGCATGTCAAAAAATATAAATTTTATAACTCTAGGCTCATGATATACATTTATGTGAGACTAATTTACTCTATACAGGTTACATCCAAGCTAACCAGTTCAATCTACATATCAGCAACTGTAGCTTAGGGGTTATGATCGCAGTTTAATCATTCCAACACCCAGCATCTATTCAGCAGCAGGTGATCAACCTGCTTCGTACAGATTTTAACAACTACACTGGCATCAATCATCCATAACTACCAAGCATAAAATTTAAATGGCCTAGTAAAACCACAATGAGCACCCCCAAAAATGCTAGGGTTATTTTGTGGCATCATGGGAAGCTCAGCTATTCAACTAAGTTTGCTCAGAGGTCAAGATTTTGAAAGTGGGAATTGTAACAGGCCAGAGTCCTGAGCCCCAGTATATAAATATGATTAATACAATACAACTAGCAACGATCCCCGGGCCACGTGCTTTGCCTCCGAGGGCCAAATCTGGCCTGAGGGCCACCAGCTGAATAGCCCTGCTGAAAAGGTTATGCAGCTTTTTTTTTTCTTTAAATCTACTTATGTGAAGGCTTTCATTTGCTAACAATATCTCAGCCTTGCTGTGGGGTTTAACCAAAAAAAAAGGTGCCAAAAAAAAAAGGGGGGGGGGGGTGGTGGAGTCTATGCTATAGCGGTAAACAGATGTGCCGAACAAAGAAATCAGTGGGGTGTGGAGGCTCAGAGAAAGCAGAAGGATGAGAAGAAATGATAACCATTTTTTTTCTAGGAGAAGGGTAATCAAAGGGAGTAAGCCTTGAGTAAGTGTGCAATAATAATTACCATTACGTACTGAATGGAAGGTAAGCATAATAATATACTTGAACTAATCATCATCATCAGGTGCCTTGCCTACTGGCGTGGGCGATCATGCCTCTCCATAATCTGTGATTATGCCTCTCTATAATCTGCGATCTCCTGCAGCATGTATCAGTTCGTGTGCCGACACACCTCCATGCCATGCAACAAGACTGTCAAGCATCTTCTCTCGTTGTCTTCCTCTATCTCTCCTTCCACATATGTTTCCAGTGGTCACAACATGTTCTATTTTCCCTCTTCTCATAACATGGCCGAAAAATGATGACTGTCTCCTTCTGATGTCTGTGATAAGTTGTCTTCGGGCTCCCGCCTCTTTCAAAACCTCTTGGTTGCTCTGGCTGTCCAAGGTTTTCTAAGCATTCTTCTGTAAAACCATATCTCTGAGGCCTCTAAAAATTGTTTGGCCTGCCTACCGATTGTCCAGGATTCACAGCCATATGTTAAAACTGGATGTATGTAGCAAGCAAGAATTCTTTTTCTAACTCTCAATGACAAGGATATATTGCACAAGATGTTTTTCATTTTATAAAATGCAGTTTTTGCCTGTCCTATTCTATTTCTTATCTCATGCATCTTCCATCTGATGTTATCCATGTGCCCAGATACTTAAATTTCTGTACTTGTCCTAAAATAACACCATCAACTTTTATTACACATTTAGGAATAATTTGTTTCTTTGATACAACCATTACTTCTGTCTTCCCATTATTCAAACTGAGGCCCATTCTTCCACTTTCTAACACCACAATGTCTATCATTTCCTGTAGTTCTTTCTGACTTGTTGCTATCAAGACTGTATCATCAGCATAACGTAAATTGTTTATATTGTGCCCACCAACCACAATTCCGGGCATACCAATTAAAGCTCTCATTATATATTCACTGTATATTGAAAACAAATCAGGTGACAATACACATCCTTGTCGTACGCCCCTCTTTATGCTTTGAAATGTACCTAAACAGTTGTTAATTCTTATAGCTGCTGTTTGCTGCCAATACATATTCTTTATTATTTGTAGATCTTTCCCATCAATGTTTAATTTTTCTAACAGTTTGATTACTTCTTCATGCTTCACACAGTCAAATGCTTTTGTATAGTCTATGAAGCATATGTATAAATCAGTCTTTACTTCTATAGCTCTTTCTGACAATGTCCTTAGGATGTATATGGCATTGTTTGTACCTTTTCCTTCTACAAATCCACTTCATCGCTGATTTCTGGTTTAATTTTGTTTCTTATTCTTCTCATAATCATTCTCAGTAAAATCTTAGTCATGTGACTCATAAGACTTACTGTGCGACGGTCTTCACATTTTATAGTGCCTGGTTTCTTAGGCAGAGCTATAAATATGGATTTTAAAAGGTCATTTGGAATATACCCACTATTATAAATATCATTTAAAAGTTTAGTTATTATTTCAATTACAAAATCTCCCAGTGCTTCGATTTCTTCCAGTGAGATGTTGTCTGGCCCGGGTGCTTTTCCTTTCTTCATATGATGTATTGCATCCTCAACTTCTGCAGTCATTATTGGTGGACCATCATTGTTGGTCCGCAGTTCTACATCTGGTCTATTATCATCATACAATTCCCTTATATACTCTGTCCATCTGTTAATTATATTACTATGTCCCATTAATAAGTCACCATCTTTTGATTTCAAACATCCAGTGCTGTTACTTGTCATCTTTCCTGTTAACATATATATCTTTTGGTACATGGAATGTGAGTCTTTCCTGTTGTTTTCCCCAATCTCTGTACACATTTGATTCAGCCAGGCTTCTTGAGCCACTTTGCATTTGTTAACTATTTCTTTTTGTATTCTAGGGTATTCTTCTTTATCATTCTTTTTCTTCCTTCTTTCATCCATCAACTGCAGAATTTTGGTTGACATCCATTTCTTTTTTGCAACTATGGGTTGGTGGGATTGTCTCTTTAGATGTCTGCTATATTGACTCACGCAACATATCCCACTGTTCATCAATAGTCTGTATAATTTCCATTGCATTATACCGGTTTTGTACAGTGACATTGTACTGGTCCTTAATTTCTTTATCTGTTCTAAGAATTCCTAAATTTAACTTGATGTTCTGTGGTGTTTTTCTAATGTTCTTTAGTTTCATTCTAATTTCTCCTACAACTGGAACATGGTCACTAAAGCAGTCTGCTCCTGGTCTAGTTTTTGCTCCAACTAAGCTGCTCCTGAATCTTCTTGAAATCAAAATATAATCAATCTGATTGCGGACATTATCACCACGACTTTTCCAAGTCCACAATCTTCGAGGATGGTGTTAAAACCAGGTGTGACCTATTATCATGCTGCGTGACTCAGCCCATGCTATTAATCTGTCACCTCTCACATTCTTTTCTCCTAGGCCATAGCCACCCGTTATTCCGTACACTTTTTCACTTCCTGTTTTCGCGTTGAAATCTCCAAGTACCATTGTTACTTCACAATTTTGGCATTGATCAACAGCCATGTCTAACTCATCATAAAATGTGTCAATATCTTCTTCTGAACTATATGCTGTTGGGGCATAAATCTGTACTAAGTTGATGTCAAACGGTCTGCCGCGAAGTTTTACTAATAGTACTCTATCTGATATTGTCCAAAATCCTTTCACAGTTTTTGAGTTCTTTTGATCCAAAATAATACCAACTCCCTTACTATATTCCTTCCCACCCGAGTAAATAATTCTGTACTGATCTGAATACTTTTCACCTGCTCCTGGCCATCGCATTTCACTAATTCCTAATATGTTGATGTTCATTCGTTTCATTTCCATCTTGATGCTATCCAACTTTCCGTTTTGTACGAGTGTTCTGTCATTCCATGTACCAATGTTCATGATGTTTCTACCATTTACGTTTTCTACAGTAGCTGGATGACGGTCGGGTATCACCCGTAGAACATGATGCTCCTTACCGGACGAGGTGATTCCACTGGAATCCCC